GGGACACCATCAAAACAGGACCGGGACACCATCACAACATGACTGGGTCACAGTCAAAACATGATCGGGACACCATCGAAACATGACCGGGACACCATCCGCCCACCAGCTCTGACGGTGACCCGACGGCGCCCGTCCGCCTATTAGTTTTGCAAGACCCCATAGCATGGCTACTGGGGAAAAAAAATATGCTGAAATCAATGTGTCAGAGAGAAATCACATGCATCATGACATGAGCAGTTGGCACCTTTTTCAACACCCCTTGGTTCCTATGATGGCAGTTTTCAAACACAGGTTTCCAGCACAGGTCCTTAGTCATTGTCAAGGAATCCTTGTTTTTCATCGCTTTAAGGTTTTTTTCAAACCTGCAGATAGGCTAGGCTTGAGCTCTGAGAGCGAACGAAGTGAGTTAAGGGGGTGTGGAAGGGGGAGGGTGCGAAAAGGCACCTTTTGAGAGGGTGAACCCGGAGCTTGCTGGGGGAGAGCGCTCCAAAGCGAGGGTCAGAAAAGCAGTGAAAATGGTGTCTGGTGATGCGAGTGATGCAATGGTCGCCGAGTAGTGCATCACTAGCATCCTGAAGGGGACTGGAGAGTCCTGAGCAGGGCATAGGGACTGTGTAGCTCTGATCATACCAAGAAGGACCAAGCAACAAAGAGTGAACGCTCTGGGAACGGACGATGTGAGTATGTCCAGTTGGGCGAGGTAGAGGCTTGGGGATAAGAGCGCCGCAAGAGGAGAAGCAAGAAAGCTGCAAGCGTTCAACACTTCATGTCCGATCTTGATCTCAGTCGCAGTGATACCAGCTCCACGAAACTACAAGCTTTCAACTATAGGTGCTCTGCTATTTTTTCCTCCCAGCCCTGCTCTCTCTATAGGGCTTCGCATTGATGCACGATACCCGAAACACACTTCAACACAACAACAAGAACCATTTCGGGCATCATTCTCCTGGTGTTCACGTTTATTTTTGCACGGATTCTCAAGTAGAACACCAACAAGGGACGCTCCAGAAGGCGCCGCACCAAGCAAATCAAGAATACTAAAAACATTCAACACTTCATGCTGTGCTCCGATCTTCATCTACGTCGCAGTGATACCAGCTCCACGAAAACTACAACCATTCAAGAATGAGTGCTCTCCTTTTTTTCTCCCAGCCCTGCTCTTTATATGGCTTCGCATTGATGCACAATGCCCGAAACACACTTGAAAACAACCAAAAGCCACCTTTACACGGATTCTCAAATAGGACGCTCCAGAGAGCACCGCGCCAGGAAAATCGAGAAAACCTAAAACATTCAACGCTTCATGCTGTGCTCCGATCTTGATCTACTCAACGTTGACACAAGCTCCACCAAAGCTACAGGCATTCAACAATAAGTGGTACGCTATTTTTTCTTCTCAGTCTTGCACTACCATATTGGTCTCTCGCTGGCTTTCATCCTCTCCTTTCTCAGGTATATATGTTAGATTCAGGTGGATCAACTTATCCAAACAAAAAGTTGGGAGAAGGTTTGCCCTGTCACACGAGTCTGCCCATTAGCAACTGCATGTAGTATGTATGTTTGAAGCATTTTTTGGAAACGGCAAGACAACTCCACACGTCCGTCATCCGGCTTAACCCCCATAAGTCCGTTAACATCTCAACTGCTAGATGTTGCACGATGTTCAATCAGTTGGGAAGACCCCCAAGCATCATTGGGTGAGACATGGTGAGAATAGCCGTCTCTGAGTCTTTAGTCCTGAGGGCCTGTCGCTTGTTCAGCACGGTGGACGAGAGGGGGCGGCCGCAGATCAGCGAAGTGCAGGCAGAGATGGGTGCCATGGGATGCAATAGGATCGATGTATATAATTACAATGGAGGGCTCATGTTGTAATGGGTGGCCAGCCACCTTGGAAGTCTTTGGCATGGTATTGTCACTGTTCATCAGCGTTCATCAGTTTTTCTTCTCGACCTATTCGGCAGTTTTGTGCTTTCGACTGAAGTTTCTGAGCACCTCGACCGCCTCGTCCAGGTTTGGGAAGAGCCCTGGACTTGGGTTCTGGTGCTGTGCGCTGTGGGCATGCTAGTGAGGGATCCCAGCGAACAGCCATGAACGGCCCAGCTTCGCACCATCACAACGCAAAGCCACATTTATCGCAGTATGGGCATGGGCTTGGGTATGGAAGCTTGACGGCATGCTTGCAAAAAGCCACCCGGTTCTCTAAGTTTGGATCTTACTCTTGCAGTGGAGGGATGGGTGGCATTCTGGGAAGGCATCAACACGATTTCAGGTGCCCATTGCGACGGTCATCGCTGTGGGTTTTGCGTGCAAGCATTCTGAGCTGTCAGGGCCCCAAGACAGTCATCGTTTGTTTCGCTATGTTCCTCACATGCAGATGTGAGAGAATGCAAAGCCCTGGCAATGTTGCCTTTGCTCTGCAAGCACCCTCTATCAGTTCCACACGGCAATTACATGGCTTCATCTGAGGAGCCCCTAGTAGCTTCTTGTTCCTAGTAGTACGGCCAGGAGCCCCTAGTAGCGTCCTTGCTCCTAGTAGCGATGCCAGGAGCCCCTAGTAGCGTCCTTGCTCCAAATCTTTGACACCATGTGTGCTCTTCAAGCCATTCGCCTCGACGTCGAGGTTGTACCGCGTTGGCCTTCGGTTCACTTTCGCGGTGGAACGGCTGCAGCGAAGAGCTCTTCGGCAGTTTAGTAAGTTTAGTACTGCTGCCTTAAGACCTCGTTTGGCCATGTGCGGTTTGTGGGAGACTTCAGGCGGCTCGGAATAGTCATAGATACAATTATAGTACTGTATATATATACTATAGATAGTAATTAGTTAGGGTTTGTCCCATGACCTGCAACAGTCGGATTATCACTATTTTCGAGAAAGGGCTTTTCTGACCATCCTCCACTGTTACTGGTTCTGGGAAATACGGGGTATACTCAAATTATAGTATGTAGTCCAGTGTACTGATGGCGTTCTCGCGCTGATGGCGTACTGAGGTTCGCCTTGGGGCACGCTTGAGGGAATGTTCGCTCCGCACACAGGCTTGCTGCCGAAGGCCGGGCTGATCTCAGAAACGACCAGGAACGGCTTGGCTTAAGATTCCCCGAAAGCCTTTATAGGTGCTGAGAAGGCTGAGGATGTCCATCTTCATCCCGTGCTCTTTGCGCGTGAAGGTTGCAAGTTGCTTTGCATATGCCCTTGCCAAATTTTTGCCCTCAGATTAGATTTTCCAAAAAGAAACGAGCCAATTCCTGCAGTTTCCTTTGACGCCAGGGCGCTTCGACTTTCCACCAAGGCGCAGGAGACCCTTGTCACGTGAAGTGGCAGATGGACGAAGATTCCTCCACGTGAGAAAAGGGTACTGTCATGTACTGTCTCTACTCCTCTACCTGTCGATGCAGTTTTTGCCGGGGTTTGTTCCGAAAAATATCTATCAACGAAGCTGGTAATGCAAGGTGACGGTGAGGATATCAGTTCTCACTGATGGTTGACCGTCTTATTGAACGCGATGTTTGCTCGAATGATTCCATTGGATTGATCTCAGAGCTTGGAGCCTTGAACTACTATACATGTATGTGGTTGGAGCATGTTGGAGCGCGCTACTTTCACTCTCCATAGCTGGGTTCCTTTTGCACTACTTAGGCTATTGTTGACACCGAGGTTTCCACCGCTGGCCGTCCTTTATCCCGAGTCTGTCTCATCTCCTTGTGAAAGCCCGGAGTGAGCCCGAAGTATGTCGAACTGATGGGTGAAGTAGCTGCGCTTGGCAACAGCAGGAGTCTGTAGCGGACAGCAGGAGCCATCAATGGCAAACGTTGATTAAGACCTGACGACTTGGTATCAACTGGAGCAGGCTTTTATGCCAGAAGCTGTCCACAGCGGACAGCACGAGCCGCACTAAGACTGGCGGCCGCAGCTTTGACACTGAGTTCAAGTGACTTTGGCCAGACCCTTAATAACTGTTGTT